GGAGAGGCTACAAAGACTTCCTTCTAGATACACTGCAGGCCACAGCCGGCTGCTGTCTTTAAAGTACTGTCTTTTTTCCTATAGTTTTCTACAGTTACATCCTGAATGTCCATCTGAAAGTCCTTTTAGTTTTGATATCCTTTTAGTAGTTTGTGGCCTCCTTAGTCTGCGGGATAGTGGACACAGCAATTTCGTCATTTCTGTCAGTTGACAGACATGACACTGACATGTCAATGACATGTCACATGTCATTGATACTGAGACAGTGAAGTGGATGCATCTATATGTAAATCTATTGTCATGAACTTATCTTGGCTTACAGGCATGAGGCAAACACAGTAATTAGCACAGGGTGTACTTTATGATAATTAGGAATGTTTTACGCATCAGATGGTGATGTTGACTTTTGAGGGCAACCACCTGGACTCAGCTCTCATTAGCTAAAATTAATGTTTTTGTGTTTCTTTAAGTGTTTCAAAATACCTATGATAAAATATTTTAACTGTTTAATTACTAAATAATAGATCCATGCAGTTAATTAGCTCAATAGCATGATTATTGGGACAACTTGCCATTACCTACAGGTGATACTGCAGTTTAGATAAACAGTTTGTGTATGTTGTAGTTTATCTTGAGTGCACAGTGAAACTTCCATTGTCTTAACAGCTAGGTTGAGTGCAAAGTGAAACTTCCATTGTCTTAACAGCTAGGTGAATGTTACAATGAATGAATTTCCAGCTATCTTGCCCCTTTGCCTGACCCGGTATCTGAACCTTCTGAACACTGGTTTCCTAGAATTGTGGTATCTGGTCAATTTTAGATGGGTTTTTCATCATCAATACCTAGTGTAACATTTCTGATAGAGAAAATAATGAGCAAAAAAACCCAAAAGCAACCAGAACACCCAAACCCCCACAACACAATGACTTACATCATCAGATCTCATGATAATCTATTTGCAAACTTGAGATGGGTTAAAGTGGCTTTGTTAAAACATCATCAAAATTTTTAGGACTCACTTGGAAGCAGCTGTATGTCATGAAGCAAAATCAGGAAAGGTCAGAATATGTATCATGGCTGTATATGTTAGCTGCAGAGCTAGGGGGCTTATTTCTGATTTACTGTGAAATATAGACAAAGTTTCTATTGTAGTTCATGTCGTCTTTGGATTAGAGTTTCTGTTCTTGAAGCTTTCCCTAAATCTTTTGGTATCAGTTCAGATGCAAAGCTAGGAGGAGGAGACTATTTTTGGTTCTAGTGACGTTGTGAAGACAGTCCGTAACCAGAAGATGTAGAAATCGAGCAATTCTATCAAATTGTTTGATAAAAGTCATATTTGGAATCTGTGCGATTTGAATACTTGCCCTGTTTTCTCCTCAGAGCCTTCCTAAACTCAAAAACAAACCTTACATGTATGTGTCAAATACTTAGGTATTTAATTTGTGATTACTGGTTGTTATGCAGTGAGGCTCTAGCATGGCAATGTAAAATACTGAGCTTGTAAACACTTTTTGGATGCAGACAGCAAGAGGGGGCAGTTAACTATTATGCTTACTATAGGATAGTAAGCATACTATAGGATAGTAAGCAAGAATGAGGATAAAATAATGTAAAATAGTGCTGCTCTTTTACTTCTAATACATTTCTTATTAGAAAGTAGTTAACTTTTGTTAAATTCTGTTTACTTCAGTTATTCGGCAGTATCTGCAATATCTCTCAATAGGAACAGATGGCAAATATTTTAAGTCATCTTATGTCTATGCACCTAGAAGATACACCTCATTTACATATGAGAAGAAATATTGGGGTTTTTTAAGCTCATGAAAAACTTGATGGTTTTGTATTTATTCTTTCTATTGCCCCTTTTGCAGTCTGTACATTTAAAATTAAAATAATGGAAGGAAAATGAAATATAATGGCAAAATGTTTTTTTATGAAACCATGATAGGCTTCTGCATGTATTTGAAGTTCATTCCGACTATTACATGCTGCTGTGGTTTCTGCATTTCAAAACATTAGTGATTTTGGGGAGGAGGGAGGAGGAGGAGGTGCTATATTTTGAAAAAAAAAAATAATAAAAGAAATCTCTTAAGTTCCAAAAACTGCAAGTGCTGCATTTCATGGGGATGAAATAATCTATTTCAAGCTAGGAAAGAACTTGTGGACACTTATGTATCTATGGAATAATGTTAGACAAATTTAAATGTGTTAACTGTGTGGTGCCATTACAAATGCTATTTTTGGCTGAAAAGGATCAGTGATTGCTTGTAAAATAAGGAGACATTGGGCTATTTCAGCTAGCCTTGGCTGGGGTCTTTGGAATGTGGTCTGTTTCTGGCACTTGCACTTAAGAACGATGCATAGGAAGACTAAAAAAAAAAAAGAAAAGAAGAAAAGTTAAGACAAAATCATAAAAATCTAAATAAAAGAAAGAGCAAGATAGAAAAATTAATTAATCTGGAGTGGGTGCTGCCATGCAAGTGCTTAAAAAAATATTGGTTTTCATTGTAACACTGGCAAGAAACAAAGATAAACATCAGAAGAAAAGGAAAAGGGGGTGGTCAGCAAGAGAAACATGGTGTTTGCATTAGGGAAAAGACAGGATTACAGGATCATTCTTCTATTCCCAGAAAGACACATGATTGGAGTGCAAGATCATCTAGATACTGCTTCTAGTTAAAGTATAGGCTGCTTCTATATTTAACTCTTTAACTTGCTGTATGTCACTTCACCATCTGTAAAGCAAGAGATGTTATTGTGGTGATGGTAGGCTGTGTCAAAAAGCATGTCTAACATATTCAGCCTGCATGGTCCTGAATATCACAGACTTATTTCTCTCATGGGAATTCTTTGATTTGGAGCTTTAGAGGAAAATCTGAGTGTCCTGTATTTGTTAAAAGGAAGTTATAGACTTGACGCAGAAACTGTTGGGCTAGAGGTTTTGACCCATTTTATGCCAGAAGTCAGGAAAAAAACCTGAACACTTAGAGGTTCAGGGTTTTCAAAAAACCCCAACAACTCCAAATCTTATGAAACGCCCTTATTACCACCTCTGCTGTCTTCAAGCACAGTCTTGTGTGCACTGAGGAACACCAACTGATCTCTCATATATGGAAAGTATATTCCTCCTCCGCTGCTGTAGAACTAGTGCTCCTATTATGTCAAGGTCCATCGTGTTTACTTCAATTTTGATATGCTTGACCTAAAATTATTGCTGTGAGTGAATTATTTGCAATGACACTTAAGAGCAATTTTCTAGAATGTCTCTATGGCCTGTGGGCATTGCACTGAGTACATATGTATCATATTAACAGAAAAACATGAAAATGACCATGAAACCTTTCCACAGTATTTCACAACTACCGTTACCAAAATGGGATTGTTCTGTGGCTTTACAGAGTAAGGAAAGACATGTGTGAGCCAGCATCCCTTGTGGGGTGTGGAATAATGGTATTGTTTTGCTAATGAACATTCTGGAAATTACTAGTCTGAAGAAGTTGACTTTAAGTTATATGAAATATTATATATCTGTACACTAAGAAGACATTTTTCTATCTCAATGAAAACACGATGTCACTAAAATCACTGATAAATTTTATACTAGGCACCATTAAAAGAGACCATTGCTGCAGAGTCTGTTCTTCAGAAACCAGCAAAAACTTGCAGTCCAGGTTAAAATATTTGTTTTATATTCCTAATGGGTGTGGGCTGATTATCTGTGCTTAGGTTAATGCTGGCTGAGGTTTCTGCAGCCTGTTCTGGTAGGGTATGAGTTGTTGCTATTTAATGTTTAGGGAGTGTATGAAACAAAATTATGATAGAAATTGGAGAAAAACATGTATTTTGAGGAACAGTACTGTCTTAGAAAATTATTTAAATTTATCATTTTTCTGAATTGAAATCTGTCCCCCCAGTGCGAAAAAATATGTATACAGGAACCACTCATGCTCCAAGTGTATATATGTATGTATATATGCTTCCAGTGTAGCCAAAATCCAGAATCTTCTATTTTGATTAGTATTTTCTCTGGTAAAAATACATAACACAACTATAAGTAACATGAATAAATGTATTGCAGAAAAAAGACCTGATTTTTAGGTTATAATAAGGAACCTTGATGCATAGTGTTACAAGAACATACTAGCTACAACCTAATTTGAAACTTTCTCCTAGATAGAATACACAACTTTGACTCCTGCTTCTAATACGATCTTTATCTGCAATATGTAAGTTGATAGTAATTCAAGTTCCCAATCTTGCAGAAATGAATAAACTTAAAGATACAGGCTTATCTTTGAACAGTGTTGCAGAGAAGTCATGCATCCATAGCAACCCTTCCCTTTAATACTTAACTCTGCTGTCTGACCACAACAGTATTCAGTGAGCAATAGACCCTGTGGGTGGTTCTCTTGTAAATATTGCAAGGAAAAACTATAATCTTCCCAAGCATCAATCTTAAATACGTCCAAACAATTCCAGGATTTAATTTGTTAGTGTGATTATGTCTTTGAGGCGTTGATATTTTTTTGTGTGTGTATTTTCCTAGAAATATCAGTCTTGTATAGGATTGAGGACTGATCTCTTTCATGATCGAACTATATTTTTATCATTTAAGCAGACTGGTAACACAAAGTTCAAGAAGCAACTACAGATGTATCCTCCCACGATAGCCTTGATGCTTGTACCCTGTTCAGTTGCTAAGTGGTAAAACATGGATAAAACAAGTACAGTACACAACTGTTGTGTAACTGATATAAATAATCAGACTAAAGTGTTGTTAATGATCCCACCATTATCAGGAGGAACAACATGAATGTTGTGTGATTGCCTAGCTTTTGGAAGCAATTCCTACTCCAGAATATCTGAATTGCACTAATTCTAAAGACTGAACTTACCTTCGATGACTGTGTAATGTGAGAAATGTAGACTGCCCTTCTGAGTGTCTTCCCGAAGTCAAAAAAGATTCATAAGGAAATAAGGACAAAGTTCTGAGCTTTATTTACACTTTTATTTTCTTATTATGATCAGCAATAATGAGTGTGTGACATAGGTACCCAAAGTTTACAGTAATTTTACAGTTTAACTATTGTTCCATTATTATTACTGGATATACGTTTATCACCTTTCAGATTCCTAAAAAAGGTAAATATAGTAGTATTTGCTGTCTAATAATATTTATTTAGGTGCTTAAGATCAGTTTCGTATAAAATTAATGAATCCTTTGATATAATATTTTATCTATGTCTTTGAACTCTGGCTCCCATTTGCATTTGCTGTGACAAGCATAGAAGAAATTTTTGAACTATTCCACAATGCCTAGTTAACATAAGATTTAAATATTCTTTCCTCTTATGCTCAGAGTCCTTAGGAGTGAATATACACAAATTTCTTCATGTTGTTATTAGTTTCCACCTATATACTGACTGTCGTTTCAACGATGCTTATCCCTGGGAGGACAATATTTCAGAAAAAGGCAGTGAGGTGTTTTTTTTCCTAGTCAGCGAAGTTAAACACATTTACAAACACGCAAGCAAAAAGTGACTATCCCCAACTATTTTTTTTTTTTTTTACCATAAAAATATAGCCTATAAGAAGTGTTTGCTTCTCACTACTGCTTTCAGAGCTGATGTGCCTCTCAATGGCAACTGTAAAATGTGGGGCCACAGTTGCATTCATTGTTCAGTGAGCTTGTCCACATAGTTAAACCCACCGACAGCAATGAATGTTGATTGTGACCTTTTGTGGTAAAGCTTGAGAGAGTGGGGGAGAAACATCATGTGGTGGTTAGGTTGCTATCTTCGGTGTTAAGGCCTGAAAGCATGAAGTAAGGAGGAGGATGGTTAGCTGGAGGGTACAATCAACGGTCGATGGTTTTCACTTTAATTCCAAACTCACCGACAGCGTTGAATGTTCACTGAAGCAACCACTACAACAGAAGTCCATTGACTTGACAGCATCCGCAAATGTCTGAAAGGAGGGGGGGGAAATCAAAATTCACACAATGATTTTAATCATACAAATGATGCAGTTTCAGTCATTTTTCTCTTACCGCCACCAACACACTTCTCTGCCCATCCCATTTCAGTCTTTGTGCAAGGAGCTGGCAATTTTCCAAACTTCTCTCTATGAAAAGAAAATATATTTCACTTATTCAGGTTTTAACAATATAGGTCAGGGATCCAGGCACAAGTGGATTAATGTCATTTCACAAAACCGAACTTAATAGCAAAATAAAATACAAGATCTCGTATATGAACAGAGCTGGCTAAGAGTTTTATGAATCAGTGTTGCCAATTATAGATTGCCCAATTGAGTAAAATTTCTTCTGCTGACATGGTTCAATTGGATTTAAACTTGCTTAGAACTGGCAAAAACTACATTTTCTTTTAAGAAGGCTTAACTTCTTAATAAACATTTTAAACAGAAGGCCTTTTTCCCTTAGAAATTGTCATACACGCAAACTGTTATAGGTTTCAGGGGGAAAAAAAGGCAAATGGTGACCTAAATTTCTTTTCATATATTTTTTAGGTAGCAGCATGCTGTCCATATCCTGAACTTGATTATCACACAGTAAAGTACTTATTCTTAAATGTTTCCACAGTAACACAACACATTTTTCAAATCTTCTGAGTTTCCAACTCAATTGTCCTCATTCTTAAAATAAATAAATAACTATTTCAAAGAACTATATATGTAGGGTTGTAATTTTTGTGTTGTAGGTAAAGGGTTTTAGAGGCTGGATCAGAAGACAAAACATGGTAACCTAGGAATTTTACCTTATTTGCATTGGTGAGCAGAGTTCTCCTGTAGAAGGTAGTCTTGCAGTTCAGCTGATCTGAATTCTTTTTTGCTAGGTCCACTCTTACCTTGCTGCACTGAAATTGTGACTGATTCATTGGCTTTCAGGAATTGCCGTTTGTTTAAATAGTTCTTTGGTAAAAGATGTCTTAAATTTTCTCATCGATTTCTGATTATTTTAAAAATCTTTATAAATGTGGTTTTTTGTTAAATTTGTTGGTACTTGCATAAAGGGACCCAGCACCAAAAGACTTGAGGTCGTAAGTGTGCTGCCTGTATATATTTTGTAAACAAACAATATTACAAGGACTTTGTCCCAGCTGTTTCTTACAAATAATTGCTCTGCATGTAGATGAATTTATTACATCATTTAACTCAACTGTATTTTCTATCACATGTGTCTACAGGACAGAGTCTCACTAATATAGCCTATTGGAATCGACTAATTTTCTCCTTTATGGTAGATTAGATGTGTTTTGTTTAGGAAAGCCACTGTGATTATGAATATATCTGAACTTTATGAAATGTGGTAGTCAACCTTCTTTTTTATTTTTTTTTTTTCCCATTTCTTTGTACTGGTTTTCTCACAGTTCAATTCTGTGGATGTTATGAAGGAGTTCCTTACACCAGCATGCGTGATTAGAGAATAAGGCTCCCCAACTCGGTAGTCTTTTGTGCATCTGCATCTGTTCAGCGTTGTTTTAGCTAAATGAAGAGACTTTATGGTTTAGGGTCACTCATGTTTAACATCCGTCCTATTATAAACTTTCTTTCTGTATGTCATTTCTTTCAGTACTTATTCCTATGCTCTTATTCTCTGCTTCCATCTGTCACTTCGTATTTCAATATGGGGTCTTGCCTGGCTGATACCTGGCAGTTAGGATGGGGTGTAGGAGAAGGAGAGGAGCTATGTAAAGCTTGCAGCTGGGTGGATTGCATCTTAGAAGGAATTCTTTTCACAGGTTATTATCCCCCCATACCCCCTGTACCATAATGGAAAAACCTCAGTATTTCCCTGGTTACCTAGTGTCTGTTGAAATGGGCTGAAACTTGTAAGTACAAAAACACAAAAAAGAACTTCTGAGCTCCAGCCTTGATTCCTGATGTGTGCAGGTTATGCAGGGTAAAAATGCTTTCATCTTCTCTCATCTGGTTTTAATTTTTTTTTTTTTAAATCCCTTACTGGGCTTAACTAGCTGTTACAAATGCCAACTTTATTTTAAATTTTATTTCAGATCTGCAGGCTTATGTGAACATTCAGATTGGATGTATGTGTTTTGTTTTTTTTTAATTTAAGGTTAGTAGGTCATAAATAAACCAAAACACTTTCCTTGCTATGAGCAATAGGGCCATGGTGTACATGAAATATCGCTTTAAAAAAATTGGAGCCTAACATGAATTGACAGAGGTACATGAGGAAGAAGTTCGTTGCGTTGCTGTAAAGGCCATAGGGATTTGGACTGCTAGAGCTGCCTGTTTTAGGAATAGATTATATATCTTGTCTGATGACCTGTACTTAATTTAAGTGACTGCCTTTGCCAGTCCTTCCAGAGGGCAACTGTGTGAAGTAGAGCATCTCATCTTCAGTCTTTTTCCTCCTCTTGAAGCCCTGACCTAAATTGAAGATATGGGTGTTGTGCTGCACAAACAGACAATAACTTCGATGCTATGTGAACTGCATCTTCAGTTCTAATTAGTTAGCTTCTCCATTTTGACCTTGATGTCTTGAATCAAAAGGCTAACATGCAACTTCATTGTACTGGTTAATACTGGTAACTGTTAGGCAGTAGATTCATGTTTAATAGCTGCCTTACGTAAAATGATAATAAAAGCTCCTTCTCTCTACTTAGAAATGGTGGCTGGTACTGTGAAGTACTACTCTGCCCTGCTTGTTGCCCCACCTCTTCCTTTCTTCCTTCTCCCTCCCCCACATGATGAAATATAAACGATAGATGTTGGACAGGTCTGGCTTGCAGACTACTTCAAACAGCTGTTTTAGTACTTTTAGCAATCTAACTGTTTGTACAGCAGTGAGATCGTTTAGGAACAAATACTTAGGGGAATACACATATCTCAGTTTTGGGGAGGGGCTCTTACAATTTGAGTTTCCCTAATGGTGAATTAAAACAGCCTATTCAGATGATACACTGATTAAAATAGTATGTTAACATATTAATGTGGTAGATGCTCTGTGTGGTTTACAGCATCTTTTTTCTTTTGCTGGCAATGAATTTTTACCGGAAGGTGGAGTTAAGACTTTTTGAAAGCAAATATTCATTTGTGTATAAAGAAGACAACAGAACAATAGTGTTAATAGTCATATTGCAAAGTTATCTCCTGTATACAGTTGTTGGCTACTTCCACCTCCCACTTGCCCTCTCCCACAGTCTGTCAACAGGCTTCTAGTTATACACTTGGGGACAGGAAAAAAATGCAATGCGTGGATGTATTTTTGATTGTGTTGCAAAAGTGAATTCCAGTGGCAGTGTCTAAAAATGGCACTAACACACTTGGGATCAGATTCTCAGCTAGTGTAAACTGACACGGCTCCATTGACGTCAGTGGCATCTGCGTTTACACCAGCTGGCACCTGGATGCTCATCTGGAAAAAAAAAGTGAAGTAAAATGATCAGCTATCAGTTCTTATCACCTTTTCTATTTTTTGTGTTGTGTGTTCATCTTTTTATTAAAAAACTTTCTCAAATGACAAATTTTCATGTTGTATTGACATTTTACCTGCAATAAATTAGTAGTAATACTAAATCTCAGTAAGTATTGACACTGTTGTGCTTCCACCAAAAGGAATCAAATCCATCTGACTGTAGTTAATAAGGATTCAATTTATTCTTGGATGACTTTGAGTTATATGTGGACAGTAAAAACTCTGTGCTGCTATCAAGAGGAAGTACTTTTTCTCAGAAAATGAAGTGTTCATTTCTTCTGTGGTGGTAAAAACTTTAAGAACAGAATCCAATAACCTTCATTGTAGTCTAAGATTCTCACTGTATTCTACAAACACTAACCACAGTAGTTTCTGCAGTGCATTGGAGTATAGCATTGTCTCCTAATTATTAATACAGTACTTCTAAGGCCAATGTTTTTTCAAGAAATCCAACTAGGAAATCACAATGTTTTCATGTTGCCTCCATTCTGTGGAAAAATCTTTGTAAAACTCTGCTGGAAAACAAAGATGGTTTAGGGAGTATTTCACCATTTACTGTAGTACAGCCATTTCTGGAGAAAAGTAGAAGCCTGTTGAAGCACTAGTGCATGCCAGCCTGAGAGAGGAGGGAAAATTTTGATTGCTTTGTTTAAATTCTACATTCTACAAGGCTTCTTTATGTCCGTTATGGTATGAAGAAATCTAACGCTATGCATAATCATCCTGGGTTTTGCTCATGAAATAAGAATAAGGGGAGAAATATCTTGGCTATATTTTAAACTGAATCAAAACATGTTTGACATACATAGCCGTCACAGAGCAATCTGCAGTTTGTTGAGTCCTATCAGAGTTCTGCTGGCCCAGAAACTAGGACATCTCAAACTATGCTAGTTTGTGTCTGTAGCCTTTGACTAAATTTTTAGCAATTCTGCTGTCCAAAAATTGGCTGCTCTTGAAATTAAAGCCATCAGATGATATTGCATGTCCACAACGGAGGCTATGAGGTGAGGTGCTGATTAGCCAAGCTAATTTAAGAACAGAACAAATGTGAGGAGCAGCAAAAATATTAGTTCAATCAAATACTTGATTGCGTTTCCAGAAATAATTTAATTGCAGAGTTCAAAGCTATGCTTTGCCCATTAGAGTTTTACCTGATTAGTATTTTGTTAAATTTTGTTATTGAAGACATTTCCAAAACAAAATTTATCATAAAAATTCCCAAGGCAATATTGGCTTTTTATTAATGCCTATGTTTATTGTACCTCAAAATTGATAAAAATTGTTACTCTTTTAAAATAAATTATAGGGGCATTCATGTGTTCTATACAGACTTCTATATCTGAGCTGTTGAGCCTGAATCCACAACAACTTCCTGTTGTTAGTCCTGTTTGATCAAATTTGAAATTGTAAGAGCTTTTCCAACATAAAAGATTGCAGTACTGGACCTATAATCTTTGCTAAAAAGATTAAAGCCAAGAAATAGGTGAATAAATTCTAATATTGCCTGCAGTTTCCCAGCCTTTTGGATGACAATTCTCCACTCTTTGTCACTGGAACACATTGCTATTTATGGAAGATATGCACATAATTTGGTGTCCATAAATCATATGCAAACATCTGTTCTTTAGATCAGTAGATGGAAGTACAGTAACTGCTTCTTACTTTAATATCCATGAAGTAATGCTCACCTACTGACATTATGCTTAAAATTTAATATTTTAGCAAATATTTCAGTAATTCAACTTTTCAGGCTATGCAAGTCGAAACAGTAGAAATTGCAAATGCAGTCTGACATAAAGTTCTGTGTGGTCTGTACCCAAAAAATGTCAAATGGAAGTTGTACAATAGAGGGTGTAAATATTAACAGCAAGATGATCAACTCGGCTAAAACACAACAGGTTCTGTTAGTAATTCTCCATAGTCATTACTGCCTTGAAGGGAATTCCTTACCCTCCTCCTTCCTGTGATAGCTTTAAATGGGTATCTTTTTTTATTTTTATTTGATGAATCTGGATCATGTAAGGGTCTACTTTTTTGTTTTTAGTATGATCTATTTCTCATGGGATCCTGCAGGCAGGATTCTAAGGCCAATAGCAGTGAAACTGCACTTAGAAAACATGGTATGTGTGGAAACCAAACTGTGTACAAGTTCATGTAAGATGTGGGAGAGACAATATCTTATGAAAGAATGGGTGCTGGATGGAAAGGCAGAGGATAAGAGTTTTCTTACTCTCTCTGTTTTTCTTCAGTCTCAGTGTTACTATTTCTACATTGTTTTCAGCTATAAAGAGAAGAATCTTCAGGATGTATCTTCTTTAATGTTTATGTCAAGCATTTACTTGGTTGTCATAAGTACTAAGACTGTGGATTCATTGGCTGTTTTTCAACATTGTCTTTGTATTTATTTTATGGGAATGGAGACTTGATATTTTGAGGTTAAACTTACAACTGTCAGCATAGAAATCGAATTTTCATAGGATGAATGTATGTATAAAAACAGAGACTAAAAATATTCTATATTTCTAAAAGCAGTTGAGTACTCCTGTACTTAAGTGTTATATAGTAGATTATAGTTCTTTACCTGCAGAAAGTGGGCTGATTAGTTTTAACTTGCTTATTTAGCCCTTTGGTTTAAAAAAACAAACTAACTACTTCAGAATGAATGGGGATCCCCATCTTAAGATTTTTGGAGTATTTCAGTACAGTACAGTGTCTTTTAAGTTCTTCACAGTGACTATATGAAATGCATATGTTCAGAAACATGTGCCTGAAGCTTTTCAGAGAGATGGAACACTTTTACTATGAGGATAGGCTGAGAGAGTTGGCATTATTCAGCCTGGAGAAGAGAAGGCTCTGGGGAGACCTTATTATGGCCTTTTAGTACTTAAAGGGGGCCTACAGGAAAGAAAGAAACAGACTTTTTAGCAGGGCCTGTTGCGATAGGACACGGGCTAATGGTTTTACAAAGAGAGGCTAGATTTAGGCTAAACATAAAGAAGAAATTTTTTACAATGAAACAGGTGGCCCAGAGAGGTGGTATGTGCTCCATCTCTGGAAAGATTCAAGGTCAGGTTGGACAGGGCTCTGAGCCACCTGGCCTAGTTAAAGATGTCCCTGCACATTGCAGGGGGGTTAGACTAGATGACCTTTAAAGGGTCCTTCCAACCCAACATATTCTATGATTTTTAAACGTTTTGTTTAATTTCTGCTTTTGGTGTTTAATTCTTTTTAGAAGTTACTGGAAAAGGTCCTGTTTGAGTCTAAGTCGTCTTAGGGATTCTCCATGTGTCTGTACCTCACTGCCACAGCAGAGCGCAGTAGCAACCGGCTTTTATATCCCATCCCCCTCCTCTTTCTGAATCACCATAGGAATGGACTGTGAGAACAAGCAAATTCAAATAATTACAGTACTGCTGCACAAAGTTTCTTTTGATCAAGAGCAAGTCATTTGAACCCTAATGTTTAGTGGGTAATACTTACAGCCTCATAAAAGTGTAGTGATGTCTGATATCTCATAGCACTTTGAACATGTGAAGTGCTATATAAACAATATAGGGCTATTGCACCCAACTCAAGCTATTAGCATTTGAAGCACACTGCCCCAGGCCCTTAGAGGGGAAATAGTGTCCTCACTGGAAAAGAAGCACCTTTCTGGGTTCTGTGTCTGCTACCAGATTAAATATCAGGAGCTTTCTAGGTAGCATGTAGATATGAAAAAATGTTTTTTCAAATACTTTGTTTATTACAAAGTACTGGATACTAACTAAAGGCAGACTGCAATTCTTAAAAAGCAAGGATGGTAAATCATTGCCTATTTGCATTATTTCTTTTACTGTATTTGTATTTTGACATTCTTGTATTTTTTCCCTTGTGAAATTTCCGCATGAAAATCTATTCGTTGCTAATGTAGTATTTTTCATGTGTAATTTGAAACAGATGAGAGATTATGCTTCATCTCTGTTCTTAAAAATATCACCACGCTTTACAGAAGTTAGACAAATGCAATAAGAAAGTATAATGAACACTCCATGGGTGTCTGTGTGTACATGTTGATGAAATCTTATTCTTAAGATATCAATATAAGTCGAGAAAATAGTAGAGGGGCATTTGCTAAATAGCTGATGTAACACATTAGACATATGTTAGAGCTGAAGGTATAGCTCAGATGGGAACAAAGTTTTCATAAGAGTGATGGAATTAATCCAATTTGCTTTGTTTTGACTCTGTCACACGTTCTGTATGCTCTGATAAATAAAGGGTACTGCTTAGGACCCACAAGATATGCCTATCTTGCAATCACTACAGTGTGCAGTCTGGGGTAGTAGAAAGGCTCGTGGCTATCTTCAGGGAGAAGAGGAAATTCCTTGAAATCTTTTTATGCCCGTAATTGCTCCAGTTTAAAAACAAAACAGTTTTTGGTCCAGAGTTGGCAAAACCTACTTTTTGCCTTTTGATGGTGTAACTTCTTACTTTCAGTGGCAGAGATCATTCTAAAGACTTGCATTTTTCTGCTTGCTTGTTTTGAGTGGGTTTTTTTAGTGTTTTGAGCTAAGCTTTTAGGCATGTTAAATGATGTAAACAAGTTTTGGATTTTTTTGTTACTGTTATCTAGGAACAACCATTCAAAACAAATATGCTATTGACTCAACCATACAAAGCTCTGAACACAGAATAAGCTCAGACTTTGAAGGACTGGGCACACAGTTTAAATATTTAGCATAGCAAAACCCATTGCAGTACAGTTACTTGTACTGGATCCAATGATTTGCAGCACAAACGCAAAGCATAATTCCGTTTAGTCAGGGAGCAAATGCCTACTTCATTTACTCTTTTCTGTTGGGTCTTTGACCAATACACACACAAACGACTTATTTTCTGCACTGGCAAAGATTTTTTAAAGTAATATATATTCTTCTAAAGAAAAATAGCCCACAATAGAT